ACTGCCGATTTAAAGTTAAATTTCATTTCAATCCCCTATGTTCTTGGCCCTGATTTTACTAGCTGCTAAGGCGAAGAGTGCTACCCTATAGGAAACTGTAGGGTCTGCGTCTGACAGCAGAAATATTAATTTATCGGTGATATCATCTTATACAGAAGACCCTGGTTGCTTAAATCCATAAGATAATATATCAAAGGAAACCATAAGCTATTGTGATAAGATTACGAAATACTTTTACTAACATAACACACCCTATAATACCAAAACACCATAGTTGTGTGGAAACAAACATACAATAATCCTCTTGTTTATAAGACTATAAAGTCTCTTAATATGCAGAACCATTTCTGAAAATAAACTGTTTTCCAGACTCCTGTCTTGTTTGTAGATAGTAGCATACTTTCCAAAGGCAAAATGCTCAAGAGCTACTAGCCACTCTTGAGCATTTTGCCCTCTGAAAATTGGTGTGGAGGCTTTTGTGTGCCTGAGGAAACCACTGTGAAACTGGCAAACAGTCGACTGCTGGTCGTGCACGCAAGCACGCAAGTACGCTACTATCTATAAACAAGACAGGAGTCTGGAAAACAGTTTATTTTCAGAAATGGTTCTACATATTAAGAGACTTTATAGTCTTATAAACAGGAGGGTTATTGTATGTTTGTTTCCACACAACTATGGTGTTTTGGTATTACATGGTGTATTATGTTAGTAAACGTATTTCTTAATCTTATCACAATAACTTATGCTTCCTTTGATATATTGTCACACGGGCCGGATATCGCGGGGGGGAGGCGTGGCTGTTTGCCCAATTTTCAAAAGGCAAAATGCTCAAGAGCTACTAGCCACTCTTGAGCATTTTGCCCTCTGAAAATTGGTATGGAGGCTTTTGTGTGCCTGAGGAAACCACTGTGAAACTGGCAAACAGTCGACTGCTGGTCGTGCACGCAAGCACGCAAGTACGCTACTATCTATAAACAAGACAGGAGTCTGGAAAACAGTTTATTTTCAGAAATGGTTCTACATATTAAGAGACTTTATGGTCTTATAAACAGGAGGGTTATTGTATGTTTGTTTCCACACAACTATGGTGTTTTGGTATTACATGGTGTATCCTCGGAGGTACTAGTTTTTTACCCCACATCTTCGGAGTGAAGCCTCGGGTGAGCCATGGGAGCTCTACGCTTCCCAGATGTGGCGGTGAGTTCGCGTCCGGAAAATCCGCCTATCTTCCATCTCTCCAACGTGCCTAATGCTCCGTGTGACCAGGGCCATTGTGATTCTCTCAGTCTCATTACTAAATCCATAAGATAGCTGTCCCAGAACATAACATGGTCATTATTTTTCTGCATGGGCAAGTTATATATTTAATGCAAATAAATAAAGGTGCTGCACTTTAAAATGTTCTCGGGGGGGGGGAGAAAGCAATTGAGGCTCATCAGGACACTGTCCTGGGAGTAAACCCCACTGAATAACAAGAGACTTACTCCCAAGTAGACATGCTTAGGATTGCTCCCTAAGACAGCCATTCTAAGCAGGTCTACTCAGAATCTTACTCAGGTCCAGGGGTCATTCCATAGAAAAAGAGGAGCAGGAGCTCATTAGCATAACTTATTTGCATATGCCACACTCCCTGACATAACCGGAAGTGTGTCAGAAGGCAACACTGGACTGTTTTGGATTGCTAGCTATTGGGGGGGGGATGTGCAGATCTGTCCTCAGGGGGGATGTGCAGATCTGTCCTCGCAGGGGAGGGAGAGCTTGTACCTGAATAAAACTTGGTCTTAAAGGTGCCACTGGACTGTTTTGGACTGGGGGGGGGGCTCTGCAACTTACCTGGCTGCTTCTTGCTCTGACTGAGGGCTGCTGGGAGAAGGGGGCGGGGCTTGTTGCATGTGCCCGCCCCCTGGGCTCTTTACCGCCGGAGCTCTGCTCCTGTGCGCTCCTGCAGGAAATGACCCCTGCTCAGGTCTATTCAATAGGGCTTACTCCCAGAAAAGTGTTCTTAGAATTTATCTGTTTGTTTATGTATTTATTTATTTATTCAGCATTTATACCCTGCCTTTCCTCTTGGCTCAAGTGCACTGCACATTCACCATTTTACCAGTGCTTTAAATAATGGGTTGAACACTTGGGTTTCGGAAGATGAACTCACCCATTTTAAAGAAAGCATTTGAAAGAGAATGGAAGTAGGAGAACGGATGCTGTGTCTCTATCAGGTTCAGTTCTTGGCATCCCTAATTAATAGGGCTAGAAAAGGCGTCTCTGTGAGAACTGTTGCCTGTCAGAGTCCCCAGTGGTGGGGCCAGAAAAACCAGGACAAAACATACCGGTGGTCCTCCTAATTGTCCCCACACACTGTCTGTTCATCCATTATCCTGTTGGCATTGCATTCCCATTGGTCATCCGCATTGTCTGCCTATCTGTCTTTTTTTTTTTTTTAGTTTTAACTGCCCCTCAAAATGCATCATTTCACATTTGTGCCAGACTTGAGGGGCACAGTTGCACAAAGTGTCGCAGGCATGTACAGAGTAAAGTGCTAAAGGGAAGGCACGAGGAAAATGCAACAAGAGACCAGCCAGGCATAGACACAGTTACCATGATGGTAAAGTTGACCAGGAGCTGCGGTGGCTCAAGTGGTTAAGACGCTGAACTGCAGGCTGTGGAAGGTCGGTAGTTCAGCATTTCGAGACCCGAGTTTGCCGCATGATGGAGTGAACTCCCGTCTCTAGTTCCAGCTCCTGCCTACCTAGCAGTTCGAAAGCAAGAAATTGCAAGTAGATCAATAGGTACCACTTTAGTGGGAAGGTCACAGAGTTCCGTGCGCCTTGGTGTTTAGTCATGCCGGCCACATGACCACGGAAACGTCTTCGGACAGCGCTGGCTCTTCGGCTTTGAAACGGAGATGAGCACCGCAACCCTAGAGTCGGATTCGACTGGCTTTCGAGCGAGGGAACCTTTACCTAAAGTTAACCAATAAAATGGGATCTATTGCATGTGTCACTATGTTGTCCAGATGAAAAATAGCTGTTCTTCAAATGTATACATTTTGAGCCAGTCCTGAATCCAGCCTCTCCTGTACAGTTCCACTAATATTGTTACAGTAGGTGTTTCTGACCGTCTATCATAAAACCAATTTATTTCTGGGAGGCTCTTTGTGCATTTAACAGGAATTGTGGTCTTCCTCTTCCCTAAAAGCAGGTTTTTCCCCTTTAGGTTTGTTCATGATCATGCTTTCCATCATATCTATTGATTTCTTCAAGCTGGAAGCAGCACAGGCTGGATACCTGATGTCCTATTTCGGAGTCCTTCAAATGGTAAGGAGAATGGCTCGAAAAAGCAGCATGACTGTTGTTAAGAACATAAGAACATAAGAGACGCCAATGTTGGATCAGGCCAAAGGCCCATCCAGCCCAACACTCTGTGTCACACAGTGGCCAGAAATACCAGGTGCCATCAGGAGGTCCACCAGTGGGGCCAGGACATTAGAAGCCCTTCCACTGTTGACACACAGACCCCAAGGACCAAGAAGACAGAGCATCCCTTGCCCCAGCCTGAGAGTTCCTACCTTGTGGCTAATAGCCACTGATGGACCTCATCTCCATATGTTTATCCAGTTCCCTCTTATAAGAACATAAGATATGCCAATGTTGGATCAGGCCAAAGGCCCATCCAGTCCAACACTGTGTCACACAGTGGCCAGAAATACCAGTGCCATCAGGAGGTCCACCAGTGGAGCCAGGACATTAGAAGCCCTCCCACTGTTGACCCCCCCAAGCACCAAGAAGACAGAGCCACACTTGCCCCAGAGCCCCTATCTATACCTTGTGGCTAATAGCCACCGATGGACCTCTGCTCCATATGCTTATCTAATTCCCTTTTGAAGCCGTCCATGCTTGTAGCCACCACCACCTCCTGTGACAGTGAATTCCATGTGTGAATCACTCTTTGGGTGAAGAAGTACTTCCTTTTATGTGTTCTAATCTGACCGCTCTGCAGTTTCATGGAGTGCCCACGAGTTCTTGTATTGTGAGAAAGGGAGAAAAGTACCTCTTTCTCTACCTGCTCTTTCCCATGGATAATCTTATAAACCTCGATCATGTCATCATGTCATCATAAATACCCATCCATGTGTATTTATATTTAGGATTTTTGGCTCCAATGTGCATCACCTTGCACTTGGCCACACTGAACCCCATCTGCCATGTTGACGCCCACTCGCACATCCTTGACATATCCCTTTGGAGTGCCTCACAATCCTCACTGGTTTTCACCACCCTGAACAACTTCGTATCATCCGCAGATTTAGCCACTTCACTGCTTACTCCCATCTCCAAATCATTAATGAACAAGTTAAAAAGCAGTGGACCAAGTACTGATCCCTGCGGTACCCCACTGCTTACCACCCTCCACTGAGAAAATTGCCCACTGAGAAAGTTGTTCCCAGTGTCTTTTATGGGAAACAGTTGGGTGAACAGGCAAACCTGTGGAAAGAGGGAGACTGGGGCGGGGCCTGTGACCACAGCAAATGGGATGGGAACAGCTTATGTGGATGCCGTTCCTGCCCACTCCCACGCTGCTTGCTGTCCTAGGGCTACCTGTGCTTTTAGAGCAAATACATTCACACAGTCAGTCAGGGCTATTTTTGGGCAGGAACGCACAGGAACGGAGTTCCGGCTGGCTTCAGAGTTGGCCACGCCCACTACAGCCAAAACCTCTTTGTGCGCGGCTACAGAGGGAAGGCCTGGAGAGTGACACCCCCGGCAACTCCGAGGTGGACAAGCCAGGGAGGGGCCTGGAAGGATCGGGGAGGCATTTAAATACCTCCCCGTGCCTTCCCCCAGCCTGTCCAAGGGCCGGCGCGCCCGGGCAAGCCAAGGGAAGGTATGGGGTGTGGCCTAATGTGCTAATGAGCTGTGCTGTCAGGGGTGTGTGACCTAATATGCTAATGGGTTTCTGCTGTTGGGTGTGGCCTATTATGCTAATGAGTTCCTGCTGGGCTTTTTCTACAAAAAAAAGCCCTGCAGTCAGTTATTACAATTTACTCTTTATGATGTGAATGTGAGAATGCACCATCACAGCTGTAACGGCACAAATGGAACTTCCATGTCCACTCACGTCATCTCAGCTGAAATGCTTTTCAGTTGGATTGGCTTCTGCATTCAGCTGCCGGCCAGTCCAGTGTCGCAGTGAAGATTCCTGCCTTCCATTTGCATGCAGATGTCAATCAGAATTCTCTTTCCTTGCTCCAAAAGAACTGTTAACACTTGATCCAGTGCTTTCTTAGTGAAACAAGGGTCAGAGTGGGAGGTGCACGTAAGGAAATTATGTTCTTCTTTTTGACTGTTTACGATATGGGACCAAAACAAGAATTCACTGGTATTCTAAGCATGAAGCCAGAGAACTGAACAACCAATCCCACTTGCCTGAGAAGGCTTTGCAAGATGGCAAGATGGTTTTGAAAGTAGGGGGGAGTTTCAGGACAGCTTGTGATATGGCAGAGGCATCACTGTTTGCTGTGCAAAGGGGAAAAATGCCACTGAGTGCATGAAAGCCCTTAGGTTTGTCTAAAATAGCACTTTGGATCCAAACCCATGAATGCTAGAAGCTACTTTTGACATGTTTCACCATTGCGTCGTGAAACTTTTAATTTTAGCTTGTTAAGGTACAGAGCTCATCAAAAAAAATTGTCCTGAGATTTCTTAGAGTTGCCTTCAGGTGCAGCTTGTATGTGAAAAGCAGGCCAGAGATATCTAATACAGACAGCAGAACGTGTAATGTCTTACTTCTGCTGAATTCATTTCTGTCAGAGTGCGTTTTGGGCTTCAGGGTATGGAGTGCTGTTTTGCTTCTATGACTGTGTACTAAAGTTTCTTTTTCTACAAAAAAAGCCCTGCTTTATTACAATTTACTGTTTATGATGTGAATGTGTGAATGCACCATCACAGCTGTAATGGCGCAAAGGGAACTTCCATGCCCACTCACGTCATCTCAGCTGAAATGCTTTTCAGTTGGATTGGCTTCTGCATTCAGCTGCCGGCCAGTCCAGTGTCGCAGTGAAGATTCCTGCCTTCCATTTGCATGCAGATGTCAATCAGAATTCTCTTTCCTTGCTCCAAAAGAACTGTTAACACTTGATCCAGTGCTTTCTTAGTGAAACAAGGGTCAGAGTGGGAGGTGCACGTAAGGAAATTATGTTCTTCTTTTTGACTGTTTACGATATGGGACCAAAACAAGAATTCACTGGTATTCTAAGCATGAAGCCAGAGAACTGAACAACCAATCCCACTTGCCTGAGAAGGCTTTGCAAGATGGCAAGATGGTTTTGAAAGTAGGGGGGAGTTTCAGGACAGCTTGTGATATGGCAGAGGCATCACTGTTTGCTGTGCAAAGGGGAAAAATGCCACTGAGTGCATGAAAGCCCTTAGGTTTGTCTAAAATAGCACTTTGGATCCAAACCCATGAATGCTAGAAGCTACTTTTGACATGTTTCACCATTGCGTCGTGAAACTTTTAATTTTAGCTTGTTAAGGTACAGAGCTCATCAAAAAAAATTGTCCTGAGATTTCTTAGAGTTGCCTTCAGGTGCCGCTCGTATGTGAAAAGCAGTCCAGAGAGATCTGATACAGACAGCAGAACATGTAATGTGTTAGTTCTGCTGAATTCATTTCTGTCAGAGTGCCTTTTGGGCTTCAGGGTATGGAGTGCTCTTTTGCTTCTATGACTGTGTACTAAAGTTTATTGGAGAGAAAGATTTGGGAGGCTAGATCGAAGTTACAGTCAGTTTCACCTGTATATAGCTGAAGAAGTGCCAATTAATAAAAACACTTTTGAGACTCTCATTTACTTGTATCTCATTCATAGCTATGATTGGCTCATTTCAGATGTCATGAACAAACCAGCGTTTGTTCCTGATCTGCGTGAGCCTGATTCTTTTATCAAGGCTTGCTTGTTCCCCGTTGCTTGGCATGTTGAGATGGAATATAGAAGTTTCCAGCTAACTCCAGTTTAGTTCAAATCTGGGTGCCTTCAAGTTTTAATCCCAGGGAAAGAAATTAACCTCAGTTTAAGACACCAGCATTGAAACTTCTTGACTAATTCATGTTAGTTGAAGACCTTGGTGTTCAAACTCAAGCAAAGGAAGGAGTGAGTGGGTGAGCTCAATAGTTCACTAGGTTCGAGGTCTGGAATCAGCCATTTCTTGCACCTTCCATTGAGCAGATTACGGTGACTTTCTCTTCTGCTTTCCTCAGATCTAAAGAAAAACCTCTTCCTCCCCTCCCTGAGATATGTAAACCTTGGGATTGTTTGTGTTTTAAGCAATGGGATGGAAAGGTTGCTGATCTTATCACTGAAATGAAGGCAAATGTATCATGGTCCTGTTTGCTTTAAATCTCTTGTTCACTCTCTCTCTCTCTCTCTGTATACATTCAGATCTGAATAGCTTAGTTAAATGAAAACTCAAATAGACACACACCCATTGTGTTTCAGAAACAAGGAGGCATCTACTTCAGTGGGAAGGGAACACCATTTGTTTGTATGTACTCATAGCACGCATTCCATATTAAGAACATGATAGGGAGGGGTTCAGCTCTCCGGAAAGGGAGAGGGTTGTGTTCTCCCTGGGAATAGTATTCTCCAGTCCAAAAGTCCTTGCACCTTCAAAATAGTAGATCTTTTCTTCATCCTCCGTAAAACACTTCTGTTTTCTGTCATTTAGCAATTTCCCACAGTTGTATTCCCTTTCTACCTATGCCTCTTCTGTCATTTCATATATTCATTATATTTGGTGGCAGTTAAGAAGCTTTTTAAACCTTGAAGGACTGAGCTGTGCCCAAATGTCTTGTCTTTATGGGGATGGTCCTTCGGACCTGGGAGAAGCTCACGGTTTCCCAAAGGAAAGAAGTGTGGGCTAATTATGTCCATCAGGATATATTATAGACACACAGGCACACATTGTTTGATGTGGCTTTCGTGGTTGTGTAATTTGTGCAGCACTGAGAACCACATCAGAAATATGTGATGCTCTAGAAAGTGCCACTAATTTCTATATATGGTTGCATGTAATTAACATAACTTGCCTATCACTTTCCCTGGTCTACGTATATGCCCAATGAAAGGTGATGAGCTTATACTGTCAATGTGACTCCACACTTGCTAAGGCTACAAACTGTTCCCTCAAAAAATTGATCCTCGGACCCAAGCAAAAGCCAGTGAGTACTAGGGGCAGGGGTCATTTCCTGCAGGAGCGCACAGGAGCGGAGCTCCGGCAGTAAAGAGCCCAGGGGGCGGGCACATGCAACAAGCCCCGCCCCTT